GACTCCAATGAGCTTAGAAGCTTACCTAGTGATACGGAGGCTGAGGGATCATCTGCCAGAAGGAAGAATGTGTGTTGGTTTAACCCTGCAACTGATATGGATAATCCACAGTTCAAGCTAGGTGATGCATTTGTTTTGTTTAATTCATTTCTGGTTTAATTCATTTGGATGATAATGCATTCTGGTTTAATTCATTTCTGCCAAGGATGAAATTTGACAACGTCAAGATTCTGAGGAATGCAGTAGTTCAATACTCAGTCAAAAATTCCAGGCAACTGAGATACGTGAAAAATATGAGGACACGGGTGAGAGTTCGGTATCAAGATAATTGACCTTGGGTTCTGTATGCGTACCAACAACCCAATAAGAGTCTTAGAATTAACGCATTGGTAGATGAGCACACATGTACCATGGTGTGGAAAAATAAAAGGGTTAATTCAGGTTTTCTAGCAAAGAAATACGTGAGAAAATTTAGGTCTGATCCCAACATTCCAATGAGTAGTTTTATGGAGAATGTGAAAGAGGACTGCATATATGAGATTTCAAAGCATCAGTTCTACACAACAAGATCGAAATGTACAGAAGTTATTAATGGAATTGTAGCTGAGCAGTACAAAATTTTATGGGATTACAGTGAGGAATTGAAGAGAACAAATCCAGGCAGTACAGTGCAAATCGAAGGTTCGGGACATACTTTTAAGAGATTGTACATCTGCATAGGTGCTTGTAAGGAAGGGTTTAAAGCTGGGTGTAGCCCAGTTGTTGGGTTGGATGGATGCTTCGTAAAATCTGCAGAAGGTGGACAGTTGTTGGCAGCTGTTGGCATCAATGGTGAGAACTGTATGTTCCCATTAGCATGGGCAGTTGTGGATGCAGAGAACAAAACAAACTGATAATGGTTTATAAAAATGTTGGTTCGTGACATATGGATGCACAACCCTCAAGTTTGGACATTCATTTCCCACAAACAAAAGGGTTTGGTGGATTCCATAAGTTAATACGTTGAAGGAGCGGAGCATAGGTGTTGTGCTAGACATCTTTACAGCAATTTCACCTTGGCATACAAAGGTCTGGCCCTTAATAACCTCTTTTGGACTGCAGCAAGGGCAACAACAGTGCCAGAGTGGAAGAGTGCAATGAATGAGTTAAAAGATATAAGTGAAGAGGCTTACAACTGGTTCCTTGAAAAACCTCATTCCCAGTGGACCAGATCCCATTTTGAAGAGCATTCGAGATGTGATATTCTTCTTAATAATTTGTGTGAGGCATTCAATTCTTCCATTGTTGCCAGAGACAGGCCCATCATCTAGATGCTAGAGAAAATTCGACATCAGCAAATGATAAGGATGAACGCAAAAAGTGAAGCAGCATAGAGGTGGGATAATGCATTCGAGCCAAGAATTGTGAAAATCATTGAGAAGGCTGAGTCTGAGGCAAAGTATTTGAAGGCAGACTATACAGGCAATCATAAATTTGAGATAAGTAGCAGATACGATTTGAGGTGGAGCGTTGACTTGACAAAACATGCATGTGCATGCAGAAAATGACAGCTCACTGGAATACCATGTCCCCATGCAATATCAGGCATGCTTTCAAGGGACATTGGCATATATGAGTACTTCGACCCATGGTATAGCAAGGAAACATACCTCCCCAGTGATCCACCCGATGTCAGGGCCTGAACTGTGGCCAGAATTGAGAAAGCATCCTCTCAATCAACCTCAGAAGAGAAAACAGGCTGGCAGACCCAAAAAAATGAGGAAGAGGTCAGAGGCAGAGCCACCTGCAGCCGTTAAGATGGGAAGGACTGGCATTAAGATGACGTGTAAACGCCGTGGAGGGTCTGGACATAACAAAAGAAGCTGTAAGGGAGCGCTGCCTGGTGAAGATAGTTCACAGCAATAGTCTCAACCAACCACACAAACAGAGTCCCAAGAAGATACACATACCAGATCAGCAAAGGGAAAGAGAAAAACACATTCAACGGAAACCTCCAAGTCACAGACAAAGAAGTCCAACAATAGACGATCGAAATCTTGAACATCATGTGGTTTCTTGTATAGTTACTTTTTTGGGAAAATGCTGTGGTTTTTTGTAAACTGGACTGAAAATATGTGCTTCAAATGCTGTTATTTTGTAGATGTAACAGGAATTTTTGATGAAATTGTTGAATGTGATGATAATGTTGATGTCGAATTTCTTGCATTATGTTTCTGTTGTTTGTCGTTGGTTTCTGAAATTGTATTCATAAAATCTGATGTGTAAGCGATTAGGAAATATATGAAAATGTTGGATACTTCCTCTGAAAGTATTATCAAACGTTTGGTACCTTTACTGCAATGTTTTTAAAGGTTTGGTATTCTGTATGAACCCATTAGAAAAGGTTTGGTACCTCGGCTGCGAATCGTTATAAGGTTTGGTACCTATGCTGTACCTTCTTCAGATAAGTTTGAAGTGTAATCAGCTCTTTTAATTTCACATTTTACATAGAGGCCAGGAAAAGATCGTTAAATTTCAAGTCAAAAGGTATAACACAATTTTTCCTTTTTACATATGCATTTCACAACATCTAGCACATGGCTCCATGTCGAAACCCTAAACTCAAATTTCTGGAACTAAATACTAAAATCCTACAATCTGACGCTACATACCTAGGAACAAACCCATTTTGCAAACACTCCACACACAAAGCCAAAGAGCCAGATCTTCCACACATTTGGTCTTGTTGCTTGAAGGGTGTTGATTTCAGCTTCCATTTCCCTCCTAGCTCGTAATAGACCAGGAATCAGTTCCTTCGATCTCTCATATATCTGAGGGTCACACCACATAAAGAAGGTGCATCTACCCACATCTTGGCTTCGAGGAAAAGTGAGAAATCTTCTTCCCGGGTTCAAGTTCGTCCACGAGGTCTTCATCTGCACTGGGAAACCACATCTGCATACATTCAACTCCATGTGCGTGCTGATTTTTTTTTTACTACCTGTGAGAGAGAAGGTAGGAGGTAATATAGTGGTAAAGAAATGGAGGGAAATAAACAGTAAAGTATATAATAGGAGGGAAATATGTGTAATGCCCATGTTGCCCTTCACTTATTTGGGGAAAATTCTTGAAAATATCATTAGAGGGTCAACTGACGGTTTTGACGGTCAAACAGATGGAAACCGTCATTTTGGATTGGCCCCACTCATTTTTTAAAGGTTTGATATCTCCGGTGGCACAAACTAAAAGTTTGGGTAAAGTCTGCTAATAAACGAAAGGTTTAGTACCTCGGCTGCAATTTTCCCTTTTAATTATGATGTGACATACTTTGAATATTGTAAATTTTTTTTATATAGATTTTGTCTCATTTGTAGTAGTTTGGATTATCATTAACATCAATACCCATCTATTATGCATTAGTCTCTTTATTTTGAAGAATAAATGATTGTTTAAATTGATTTCGAGTAATAGTAGTTTAGAATTTAAATTGTTATAGTTTCATGCATATGGTTTAAATCTTACATGTGATAAACTTTTATGTAGCATTTGGGGATTTAAAAAAAAAAAACTGAACCTTTGAAAAATTGATATTTTAAGAGAATTCACATTCGATTTATTGTTTGAATTTTGTTGAATTGCGTAATTGCAAAATTGAAAGGTTTTGTCAAAAAGACCTAAACTGTCTAAGAAGAGCTTGGAATCTAAGCAGTCCGACTGTGACCCCCCTCCTCATCTGGAAGCCTCAAATCGACAAGATGAAAGACAATATTTTTCACAATTTCAAATTTAAGAAAATTCAAAATTTTGAAACTTCTATTTTGAGAAAATCTTATTAAAAGATATATACATATACAGTTAAAATAATAATAATAATAATAATAATAATAATAATAATAATAATAATAATAATAATAATAATAATAATAATAAAGTGAGATTTTGTGAAAAATTTTATGTAAAATGAGATTACATGAAAATTGTATACATACTTTGAAACAAATAATGTTATAAGAACACTTGGCACGTGGCGTTAACCATTCGACTACTCTCTAGTTGATCCCGAGTATGAAATAAATTCATTTCATTATTAATTTCTAGTATGATTATGTGTCATATTTCTACATAAAATGTATAAGCACGTTCACCTCGCATAATATATTTGTTATTTTTACATCTTACTAGAATATCGTGTATGCACTGAGAATAAAAATAATATTGATAATGCAAGATTAAACATAATTGAAATTATACTTGTCACGTGATTAGGATAACTAAGAATAATCCAACATACCTCCAGTGTGTTGAAATGGCCATTGAGAACCACATAAACTATGAAATAAGATGGGAGCGAACTTTTCTTGAACATGTTGAAGATTCCTTTATAAGTGGGAGCGAGTAAGATCATTCGGATATAATGAAGGGACTGTCCTCTCGATATACCACCTTATAAGCACTATGTGACCTCAATGGAGAGACGTGGCTTACTTCGTGAGGGATATGGATTATGAGTTATATATGGAAGAAGATTGGGATAAGATTGATTTTAAAGGATACTGTGAAGATATCATAATTTTATGGCATCATAGACAACAAGCACCAGCGCCCGAACCCGAACCTAAACCCGAACCAGAGCTAGAGGAGGACCTGGAAGAGGGGCCGGAAGAGGACCCAGAGAAAGATATCGAACCAGAGCCGGAAGATCCTGAGCAAGAAAATCCAACCACAAAATTTTGTTGATTTGGTTGCAGATTCCGAGTCAGAGTCATGCATTACTTCGGATGGTGAGATGCCATAAAAGAAGATTTTTTTTAGGACTCACAGGGATTAGAAATAAGTGTTATTTATTTACTTATGAAAAGTTTAATTGTTTAATTATTTATTTGATTTTGAAGAGCACATTACTATATGTAAGAATTTGGAAATTTATATTTTTAAAGTTCTTCATTATTACAAAGATTATTAATAATATTAGGTTGTTTTATTAAATATTTCTAAATTAAAATTTTATTTGTGTTAAGAAAATGTCAAGACAACAGCAAAATCAAGTTACGATCATCAGGGATTTGCTGAGGGCGGTACAAGACTTGGGTAGGCAACAAGCACAGGCTGGTCCTCATGGTGCAAACGCTAACAACATCAGCTCAATTGTGGAACAGTTCCGTCGCTACAAACCCCCAACCTTCGATGGCAAGGCAGACTCATTAGCAGCCGAAAAATGGATAAGAGGAATGAAGCGAATCTTCAAATATCTATCTTGCACTGATGCTCAAAAGGTGTTATGCGGAGAATTCATGTTAGTTGACGCTGCAGGCCACCGGTGGGAGTTAGCATCTCACACTAGAACAGAAGCACAACAACGTGCTCTGACGTGGACACAATTTAAGGACGAAGTGATGGGAAAATACTTTCCCCAAGCTCTGAGAGATCAAAAGGAGACAGAATTCCTTCAACTTAAACAAGGAAAAATGAAGCTTGAGGATTATGAGAGAAAATTCGAAAAACTATCGAGGTATGCACCACACCTAGTGGACACTGAAGCAAAAAAAGTAAGGAGTTCGAATTGGGATTGCGTCCTGAGATTGGTAGAATACTGGCATCCCACCAATTCACCACCTATTGCCGAGTATTGCAGACTGCCCAAGCAATCTCAAATAGGTTGGAAATAGACGAAACTCCCCAACAAGGGTCGAGTTTTCAGGAAAGAGGAAATGGAATGTGTCCAACAAAGAGAAAGGAGAAGAACAGAACAAGAAGGCTAATTTCGAACCAGTTCTTGGACAAGTCGTCCTACCTTGTCCAAAGTGCAAGAAAATGCATAGAGGTGAATGTCTGTATGGGAAGCATATGTGCTATAGATGCGGTAAAATCGGGCATATTTCCAAAAATTGCAAAGAGGACCTTTTGAAGAAGAATGATGAGTCAGAACGGAAGGGAAATGCCAGAGTTTTTACTTTAGCCCAAGGACAGGCCACGGAACACGGAAGATCCTAGCGCAGGTAAATTTCAAGGATGAAATTCTCCTAAGGAGGGTAGATTGTAGCAACCCAAAAAAATAACTGTAACGACACAAAAATTAAGGATTTGAGGCGCTACCAAAAGATTTATTTATAAAGTGGTCAATGTTATTTTAAACAACTTACGGCTCGTAAATTTAAATTTCTAACTGACAAATCCTTAACAGTCAAATAAAGTAGGATTTCTAGCAACTAAATTTATAAATTTAATCTGCTTGAGACAAAATCTGTTTACACGTGATAAAATAATTACCATTTAACTCTATATATATATGTATACATATACAGTAATGAATACTCTCTCTATTTATATATATAATAATATATATAGGACAAAATAACCCAAAATCAAGGCATGACATACTTTTCTCTTTCTTCAATGTCTTGACACGGTTCCAAATTATGAGAATGCAACCAAAACAAAAAGTTGGCTTATTTTATTAAGGGAAAATTCACACACTACATCTAGTCCTGCCAAATATTTATTACTTGATATGGATTAATTACTGAAATGACAGATTTAATGGCAGAAAATTTTGATAAAGTAAATAAATAAATGGATACGAGTATATGACCAATTCCACCACATTTTGCAATAATCATACGTGCGTATATTTCGTTTTATCCTATATAATTAATTCTAAATAAAATTTTGTTTTTATTAATATAAGTAGCACTAAAAGAAAATCAAATAATTCGATTCACTTTTAAATAACAACACAATCTAAAAATATCCATGTAGCAAATAAACATGAACGATGGTTTAATTTTAAAATAAATGTCTATGGCAAAGAAATAAAATTACGTGCTAAAATTTTAGATTTTTTTCCAGCGGGACGAGACATAACCACTCAATCGAACCATCACGCTCCGACACGACCCGGTCTAACTTGTGAGGTGTACGGAAAAAGGTGAGTACATGAGAATATTCAGTAGGATATAAAAATTTATGGTGCGATCCCGTATAATAATTTTAAAACATGCATCAGAATATCATACCGTCTTATATCTTTAAATTCGGTAAGAGCTCATATCATATCATATTGTTGTACCAGAGTGGTCATATCATTCACATCATAGCATAACTTTAACTTTTATGAGTATAAAAGTCATCAGCATGAAAAAATATTTAAACGGAATAAAAAAAACACTGCACCTCAATATCCTACATGATCTAGTCTAACAAAGTGGGTGTGTAGTTGGGGATACGTGTAGTATAGGATAGGAGTATGGATAAATTTTGAAAAAAAAACTTTTTGAAATAAAATAATTTACCAAATCTTGTCAACCAACTTTATCACTCAACAAGCAATACCTCTCTCACACGTGTCCAACAAATTGAAACTAGAATAAATAAAGTTTCTTTCGCTCTCTTCTCTCTCTTCTTTTCTTTCTCTCTCTCACGTGGTCCTATCTCCCTCTCTTCTTTTATATATTATTATTATTATTATTATTATATCTTTATTTGTATAAAAAAATATTTAATCATAATCTACCAAGAATTTTCTCTATTCACGTGACTTGAAGAAGGGAGGCTTAAATTCATTAAATAATAAATTTAAATATAATTTTACAGCTATATATTTCGACCTTGATAACTTGGGCTCCGCTAATCCAAATTAACTTTTTCTCGAGCCTAACATGCATGATTAATTATGACCTATCCAACGAGCCCAATATTTGTATACTTATTATCACTCTATCATTATCTACATTTAAGCCAAATAAAATCGAAATTTACATTATATATACTTTAGTCCCTAACCTTTCAAAACATTAAAATATAGTGTACAAAAAAATCAAATTCCTTTCAATGAAATTTCGGGACATTACAATCTCCCCTCCTTAAATATTTTTGTCCTCAAAAATTTACCTTAGTTAATCGAAGAGATCTGGATACTTGGTTTTAAGCTCCTCTTCCTTCTCCCATGTTGACTCGTCTCGTCCATGATTTCGCCATTGCACTTTAACCAGTGGGACTTTTCTATTTCTGAGTTGATGTGCTTTTCTATCCAAAATCATTGTTTGGATTTCTTCATATGATAGATCTTTTTGTACCTCCAAGGCTTGGTAACTTACCACGTGATTGGAATCATGGACATATTTTCTGAGCATCAAAACATGGAACACATTATGCACTGCTGTAAGTTTAAGTGGTAAGGCAAGCCGGTAAGCCACAACACCAATCCTTTCAAGGATCTCGAAAGGTCCAATGAACCGCGGTCTCAACTTCCATTTCTTTCCAAATCTCAATACACTTTTCATTGGTGCTACCTTTAGAAAAACCTTGTCACCTACTTGAAATTCTAAATCCTTTCTTATACTATCAGCATAACTTTTCTGACGATCTTGTGCTACTTTTATTCTTGTTCTAATTTTATCAACTGCCTCAACTGTTCGTTTAATGATTTCAAGACCCAAAATTATGTTCTCCCCGACCTCGTCCAAATGGATAGGGGATCTGCACTTTTGACCATAAAGAGTTTCATATGGGGCCATACCTATAGTGGCCTAAAAACTATTGTTGTAAGCAAACTCCACTAAAGGTAGGTGTGTTTCCCAACTACCACCAAAATCTAAAATACATGCCCTCAACATATCTTCCAGAGTTTGGATGGTTCTTTCTGATTGTCCATCCGTCTGAGGATGATAAGTAGTACTAAACTTCAATTTTATCCCCATAGCAACCTGCAAACTACTCCAAAATTTTGATGTAAACCTCGGGTCCCTATCTGAAACAATAGTGACAGGAACTCCATGCAATCTGACTATTTCCCTAATGTATAATTGTGCGAGCTGTTCCATACTGAAATTTACTTTGATTAGTAGAAAATGGGCTGACTTCGTTAGACGATCAACTACTACCCAAATAGCATTGTGACCTCTACCTGACCTCGGGAGGCCTACCACAAAGTCCATCGATATGTGCTCTCATTTCCATTTTGGAATATCCAACAGTTTCAGTAGTCCTGATGGCCTTTGATGTTTTGCTTTGACCTGCTAACAGATAACACATTTCTCCACGAACAGACCAAACCTCTCTTCATGTTTCTCCGCCAAAATGTATCTCGAAGATCTCGATACATTTTCGTGCCACCTGGATGTACCAAATATGGGGTAGAGTGAGTCTTTTCCAATATCTCCTTTCTTAAACTTTCATCCTTAGGTACACATAACCTTCCTTTGAAAATCAGCGTGTTATCTGCAGATATTTCAAACCCTACACGTTTATTTGAACCACTCTCAGTCTTTATCTTCTATAGAAATGGATCCTTATCTTGCGCTTCTCTAATTCAATCCCGAAGTGTAGCTTGAATCATAAATGCTTTAATCATCGTTGTAGTCTGAGTCGACGGTATGATAACTTCTAATCTTAGTTTCTTAAAGTCCCTTATCAAGTATTCCTGTACCGTGAGTAGAACTGCTAACTGTGATCCTGTCTTTCTGCTTAGGGCATCTGCAACTACGTTAGCCTTACCCGGATGGTAATGAATTGTGCAGTCATAATCTTTCACTAACTCCAACCATCTCCTCTGTCTCATATTCAGTTCCTTCTGTGTGAAGAAGTATTTGAGACTTTTGTGGTCTGTATAAATTTCACACCTCCTACCATAGAGATAATGACGCCATATCTTTAATGCATGAACTACTGCTGCAAGCTCCAAGTCGTGAGTTGGATAGTTTTGCTCATACTGCTTCAACTGTCTCAAGGCGTAAGCAACTACTTTTCCATGCTGCATCAATACACAGCCCAAATCTTGTTTGGAGGCATCGCTATAAATCACAAATCCCTCAGAGCCATCTGGTATCGTCAATACAGGAGCTGAAATTAGTCTTTGCTTGAGTTCTTGAAAACATCGTTCACATTTTTTTGTCCACTGAAACTTCACACCCTTTCTCGTCCACTGAGTTATCGGCCCTGCTATTTTTGAGAAGCATTCAATGAATCTCCTATAATAACCAGCCAATCCCAAGCGCTACCAAAAGATTTATTTATAAAATGGTCAATGTTATTTTAAACAACTATGGCTCGTAAATTTAAATTTCTAACTGACACATCCTTAACAGTCAAATAAAGTAGAATTTCTGGCAACTAAATTTGTAAATTTAATCTGCTTCAAACAAAATCTTTTTACACGTGTTAAAATAATTGCCATTTAACTCTATATATATCTGTATACATATACAGTAATGAATACTCTCTCTATTTATATATATAATAATATATAGAGGACAAAATAATCCAAAATCAAGGCATGACATACTTTTCTCTTTCTTCAATGTCTTAACACGGTTCCAAATTATGAGAATGCAAACAAAATCAAAAGTTGGCTTATTTTATTAAGGGAAAATTCACACACTACATCTAGTCTTGTCAAACATTTATTACTTGATATGGACTAATTACTGAAAGGATAGATTTAATGGCAGAAAATTTTGATAAAGTAAATAAATATATGGATACGAGTATATGACCAATTCCACCACATTCTGCAATAATCGTACATGCGTATATTTCGTTTTATCCTATATAATTAATTCTAAATAAAATTTTACTTTTATTAATATAAGTAGCACTAAAAGAAAATCAAATAATTCGAGTCACTTTTAAATAACAGCACAATCTAAAAATATCCATGTAGCAAATAAACATGAACGATAGTTTAATTTTAAAATAAATGTCTATGGTAAAGAAATAAAATTATGTGCTAAAATTTTAGATTTTTGTCCAGCGGGATGAGGCATAACCACTCAATCAAACAACCACGCTCTGACACGACCCAATCTAACTTGTGAGGTGTAGGGGAAAGGGTGAGTACATGGAAATACACAGTAGGATATAAAAATTTATGATGCGATCCCATATAATAATTTTAAAACATGTATCAGAATATCATACCGTCTCATATCTTTAAATCCGATAAGAGCTCATATCATATCATATTGTTGTACCAGAGTGACTATATCATTCACATC